CGGCGACCTCGAGATCACCGGCACAACAACGTCAAACGGTCAATTCCGATAAGGCGTTACCGACTTCTCGGGCATACATCCCAGACGATTCACAAACCGCGCCATCATTGCGAGAAGGCAGATTTGTTGTACTCCTAGCAGAACGGCGACCGCCTGCACCGCCTGCGCCAACACAGCACCCCTTCCTAGATGCAGTGGCTTGCCGTTATTGCAATTCGGCACGCCGATACCACCTCCGCCACCTCCTCTCCCTGAGCCTGGACCTGGGATGCTTGGCGGTGGCGAATGCTTCGAGAGCCACTATGGAAATGCTTGGCAGACGCTGCGAGGTCGTCTGGCAACGTTCTCCGCCCTCATCCTCGCGGCACAGGAGGTCGGCTTCCTGGAGGACAGCGCCGGTGCAAAAAGTGATGCGGTCGCCAAGTTGGGCTGGAAGATGCTCGCGTCCCCCTCTATACCAGGACTGTCTGGGCAACCAAAGTGGGGGGTGGCCATTTTCGTGAGGCAGACTTTAGGGCTGCGGTGGCCCGCAGATGGATCTGGCATAGTGGTTCCAGGTAGGATCATAGGAGCCGTTGTCGACATTCCGTCCTGGCCTCCTCTTGTTGTTGTGAGTGCGCACCTTAAGTCGGGCACTGGGCTCTGCAAGCGCAACCTCGGGATGCTTAAGAAAATCTGTGCCTCTCTCGAACGAGAGCACCACTTCCTGGCAGGAGCTGACTGGAACCCTGAACCCAGTCTGGTGGACAGCACAGGACTCCCGAGACGCTTGGGCGCTGCACGTTTTGCCCCGAAGCAGCGCACCTGTGTCTCGCCGACGGCCGTGACCACCATCGACTTTTTCATGGCCAGCACGAGCATGGCCAGATCCGTCGAGAGTATAGACACGGTGATGAGTTGGACGGCTAGGCCCCACAGGCCAGTTTCGCTTAAATTACATGACAAAGCGGTCCACGTGCATCAGCTTAGCTATCACTTTCATCAGAAGTTACTTGTTGAGCTGCCTATGGGACCTACGCCGTGCCCTCAAGATTGGACTTTGCCCAGGTGCCTGGCCGAGACTGCTGCAGACGCTGCGGTCACTCTTCCAGTTGGACAGGCATGGGCTCTCCTCGCGCAAGCTTGGAAGGTGTTTGCGAACATGTTAGGGCTTGAACTCGAATCGTTCCTTGGCGTGGAGATCGCTAGCAAAGGGCACAAAGGGGTTCTTTTTCAAAGCTCTGTGTGTGCCGGTATTCGCCAGGCCTAAGAAGGCCACGAGGGATGATCTGAATTCGGGCTGGGTTTGGCTCGCTCAGCATTTGAAAGAAACCATTGGCGTGGCCCGTCGAGTCTTTGATGCGCTCGAGAGCTCCGACGTGGACCCCACTAGGCTGAGCGAGCTCCAGCAAGATGCGAGCGCCTAGTTTCAACAGCTGCAAGTGCAGCCCGTGCCAGGTGAAGGCTCCAGCGTCAGGTTGGACGCCGCCGTCGAGCAGGCACGGGATGTACTTGGCAGGTGGGCGCCCGCCTCGGACATGTGGCCCCAGGACGCCCAGGAGTTCATCGATTCCTGGAGCGACGACCCAGAGCTGGCCCACGCGACACTTAACAAGAGCAAAACGGACTCCTGGGATGAATGGCGGGAAAAGGCGCTTTCGGGGGGGGGGGGGGGGCAGGGCCATGTGCCGCTTTGCTAAACTGAAGGAAACATGGAACCCTGCGGTCGTCCAGACCTCGTCTGGACAGTTTACGAGTAATCCACGTGATGTTCTCGATGCCGAAGGCAAGGCCTTGGTTCGTTTCTGGCACGCTAGCACTTCCCCAGCGACAGTTGAAGCGTTGGACAGACAGCACCTGCCACGCGTGTCGGCTGCGGAGATCCGTCGTGCTAGCAGTAGTTTCTCCAAGATGACTTCTCAATCTCTGGCCGGATTACACCCCCGCTAGCTGTCTTTGGTCTCTGATGCCGCCTTGGACACCCTCGGGGCCATAGGTCAGGCCGTCGAGTCCTTGGGGCTCTTCCCTAAACAGCTGTTCTGAATGTTGCGTGGCACCAGGCGGCCCGAGCCGAGGTGGCGCAGGCCTCTGGAAAAGCTACGCTTGGAGTGACCTGTGACGGGACCAAGTATTATGAAAGTGTTGATGTTGATCTCTTAAAACAGAGAGCGCTCAGGTTTGGGTTTAATGGCGTCGGTGCTACAACTGCGCATTCTGTCTGGATGGGGACCGCGCATCCTCAGGCCTGGCTGCATGTACAACATTACCCCGTACTTCGCGCTCAGCGGCCTCCCTGCTGGAGACAATTAACGACCTGTTCGTCCGCGTCTACAACATCGACGCGTTCGACCGCTTCTGCAGCAGCCGCCCTCTTGCACCTCTCTCGTCGCACGTTGACGACGACGCCTCGACGACGGAGGAGAGTCCGAGACGGAAGCGCCCGAGCGGATGGTCAAAGCGTTCGCTAACATGTCCCCCCTCTTCCGCGGCGAGTTGAAAGTTGGCCCCCAGGCTGATAAACTCACCACCTTTGGCAGTTCTATAGGCGCGGCTCGACGTCTAGGTTGATTGCTAGGCGGCATGGCTGGACATCTCACGAATTGCACGGTCAGTCTCGGCACGGACCTCGCCCATGGCCAGCAACGGTCGAGTAAGAATGCGTTGCGCAAGCGCAAGGCCAGGCTCAGGTGCATGTACAAACGACACGAGGTCCTTCTGAGATACAGACGCAGTCTTCCAAAACAACAAAGGTCGCATCGGTAAGATATGTTGCAGGCGCGCAGCCTGCCGCCGCGTTCGGGTCAGCTGTTGCTGACATGAGTGGTCACGAGTTGAAAGGGGCCCGTCGCGTCATGTTGTCGCACAAGATACCTCGTCATAAAGGTTGCTCGATCACGGCAAAGTTTTTTTCTGGAGATCCTGTCTGGAGGACAGGAGTGGCACCAGCCTTGCAACGGTCACACATTGTGTGGCTAGCAGTTACTGACCCTGTCACCTCGATCTACAGCGTCAAAGGAGTTTGTTGTCAGATTTGGGGAGCGGTGCCCCTCATTGGAGATGTGTGCTGGAGGAGTTCTCGCGGGCCCATTCAGCGCATGCAATTGTCTCTCTTCAGGCTCGGCTGGTGCGCCACATCTGCTTTCACTTGGGAGGGCGACTGCGGCCGCGAAATTCACTTCGCCTACGCCCCCCCACCCATGGTCGGACATTTGCTGATGTTTGCCGCCCGGCGAGGTCACGAGCGCAAGCTGGCCGCGCTTACCCCGTCCTTCCCTGGAAGTCGCGTCGTCGCGGGCCCCTGCAGAATCTCTCGGGCCCCCGCTCCAAAAAGTTGATTCAACGTGAAAAGCCCATGGCCATCATTTGTTTTTTGCGGAGGCGCCTGGACACCTGCTCGGGCACGATCCTCCGGTTGCGCTTGCGATGGTCTTTGTCCACTCTGCGGACAGCCCGACTCGGTCAGGCACCGCGCTCGGCAGCGCCAAGCCCTCGCTGCAGCAGGAACTCGAGCCGACGGAGCAGGAGACAACGTTTCGTGTCTGCAGGAAGCAGCTGACAGTGATTGCAGGAGCTTGTGGGATGAGTTAAAAATGGAGCACCTCGAAAATTGCTATCTTCCCCCGAGCAGTGACCCCAGCCCGAAACTGTTTAGCCCCCAACGAGATGAGTTAAAGTGGGGAAGTATCGACTTGAGTGGTTGTGATATCTGCATGGACGGATCCGCGAACTCTCCCGAGCTTCCTATTATTGAGTTGTTCTAGGACCTGATGAGGAAATGCTGGCCTACGCGGTAGGCACGGCCTGGGACTGCCTGCCCCAGGCGCCGCAGTCTGCGGAGCACCAGGCCATGGCGCTGATCTCGTTACTCGTCGAACGGTCGGGCACCCGCTACAGCGATTGCGTGACAATTGTGAAACTTTGTAAGTCGCCCCCTCAACATCAGGTCGATCGCCGTCATCGTTACGTCGGCATGAGAAGAGGCGCATTCTTACACGACAAACTTGATCACGTGGCTGAAGTATGTCATACACATGCACATAGTGTTCGCAGTATGATCGACATTCTTCCGGCCGCCGAAAAGCGAGCTGCCGTGGGTAACTGGAGCGCCGACGTCCTCGCCAAGCATTTCATATCCCTGCATCCCTCGCCCTCCCCCCAAATATCGGACGTGCTTAAGCTCTCCCTGGACAAGCTGTTGTTTGCGGCCCGCGTGCTGGCCAAAGTTTTGCGTGTTTTTTTGTCCGCTCGCGAAATTCGAGCGCCCTCCCCCTGGACCTCGGGCCCGATTCCTCAAGTCTGGAGGCTGGCACAATTGGGAAAAAATTGAAGGCGGCAGAGCTAGGTGCATCAGGTGTTCAGCGTTTAGTAGTGATATAGACACCCGCCCCTTGCTTGGATGCCCTGGGCCGAGTGAAACGTGGAAGGGAGCTTTCAGTTTTAACGTGGGCCACACTTTGGCCCACGCGATCGTCACTCGCCAAGAAGCCGATGACGACCGCAGTAGGAGCCGTGGACGTGAAACGGTGCTTTCTATGCTTGTACGACGTGTGGCGCCTATACCACGCGTCGATGTTTTTTGCTGAGTAAGGAGTGCCAGCAAAAAGGATTTGCTGGCGCTTCGAATGCCTTGAAGCGCATATATGCAGGCCTGCACCCACACGCGCGCGAGACCAGTGCGCGCGTCGAGGCGAAGAGTGGGGTACACACACTATGCGATCAGTCTCCCGCCACCGCTCGAGACAGGCCAGCGCACTTTGCAGTTAGATCGACTCGTGCAAGCGGCTGGAATGCAGTCTTTCCTTGGTCGAGTCCAGGAGAGAGAAGCTGCTGCACGTGCGGCAGCTGCTCCCAGGTACCTGGTAACCCATCGGTCTCGCCCCTCGGGAGAAAAAATCTGGCGCAGCCGATCCGATCCGATTTCCATTATGTGCCCGATGCAGCCCGATCCGGTGCACGTTTCGATTCGTTTCGATCCGATCCACCGCTTCGATGCTGGCTGCCCCTGCCCCGAGCACCCGCAGGATGCCAGCGCCTGGCCAGGGCCGCCCGTGGCTGCCGAGACGGCGCTGGACCTGCTGCTGCTGGAGCTCGGGCGCCCCGATGCGGCCGGGGCCGCCCCCGCGGCGCTCGTGCGGCGGCTGGCGAAATACGCGGCGTGGTTGCCCGCCCCGGGCGGCGAGGGCGGCGACGGGCTTGCGGGGCCTGCGCTGCCCGCGGCCGTGCTGGACCCGTTGCTGAGGCTCTCGCCGCAACGGGCGGCCGCGCGAAGCACGGAGGGTCGGATCATATCGGTTCGGCAGGAGGGGACGTCGGCAGAGGAGGGTTGCGAGAGAAGCACAAGTCTGATCGTTGTTGTGGCGCTGAAGAACACGAGGGACACGGAACAGGAGGAGGAAAAGTACGCGATGGTTTTGGTCATGGCGATGATCGTAAGTATGAACAGTAGGAGTGGCATAGGGGGGCAGGACTAGGAGGAGCATGCTGAAGCTGATTGCGATGATGAGGAAGACGTGAGGAGTTGGAGGAGGAGGCGGAGGAGGAAAAGGAGGAAAAGCATGTGGTAGAGCAGGAGGAGGAGCCGGATGCGGAGGATAATGATCAGGTGGATGATGCTGATGTCTGTGAAGCGTATGGTGCTGAGGGAGATTAAGACGACGATTAGGAGGAGGAGCAGCAGGCGGATCATCACAGGATCGCGTCACAGGGTCTTGAACCTCACCCCCAGCAGGAGAGGGAGGGAGTGGGGTGGCAGAGGAGAGTGGCGGATGGCGGACGGAGGCGGGCGGAAGAGGGGGAGGAGGGAGGACACGGGTCCAGACTGGGAAGGAGGGGGAGGCCTCCTCTCTGTGGGCGGGACGAGGAGCTCTGCCACGGCCTCCGGTTGTGCAGCCTATCCTTATGCGTTCCCATCCCAGGCTTGCGTTCCTTCTCCAGCAGGAGTTATAAACACCGAGCGAGGAGGAGCAGGAGGAGGGGGAGGAGGAGGAGAAGTAGCAGCAACAGGAGGACGGAAAGGACGACGACCAAAACGAGGACGAGAGGAGAGTAACGACGACGAGAAGGAAGACGTGCAAGAGACGAATGATGAGGAGGAGGAGGAAAAAGAGGAGGAGGAAGAAGAAGAACAATACAAACTAGGACAAGAAGCTTTGGCAACGAGCGAGGCGTGCCCTCAAGTGCCCAGGACTTGGCATTGCCCCAGGGGCGCGCCGTCCCGCTGCTGGCAGGGCCGCCCGTGGACGGGGGGGGAAGGATATATGGGGAGTCGGAGGGAGACGAGAAGACGAGGAGGAGAAGGAGAGCAGAAGGAGGAGGCGAAGACGAGGCCGTCCAGGGCGAGGGGGAGGGGGGGGATCAGGGAGGGAGCAGCAGCGGGGAGCGCGCGCTCGGAGGCGCATGGCCGAACACCTCGTGGCGCGGGCCTCCGCGCTCTCGTTCGCGGACGCGGCCAGTGCCCTCGCCACGCTGGCGGGCTCTGGCAGCGCGCCCAGGGCTGTGGTGGAGGCGCTGTCGGGGGCGGCGGAGGCGCGGTTCCCCGCGCCTCCGTGCCCAGGAGCGGGCGAGGAGCGCCAGGGACAGCAAGGGGCGGCCAGCACGCCAGACCCCCCGTCCACAGGCCAGGGCAGAAGGTGCTGCGGCGCGGACTTCCCATGGTGTGGTGGGTCAGAACTCTCCCAGGGCCATGGCGCCCGATGTACCGACTTGGACCAGGCAACTCCAGGCAAGGCTGGACAAGACAAGGCAGGCCTCCAAGATGGCGCCCGATGGGCCATGTTGGCGCAAGATGGCCTCCAGCATGTCTCCAAGAGGCCCAAGAGGGGCGCAAAATGGTTTGTTTTGAGGTGGCCCCAGAGCCTCCCAGGGATTCCAGCGAGGCCGTCAAACTTGCGAAAAAGACACAGTTTTAATTTGCTCGCCTTCCGATGAGACTCTGAGGCCTCAAGATGGCCGGAAGATGGCCGAAAAGGGAAGCCCGAAGATCCCCAGAGGGCCCAAGAGCTTTCAAAAACACCCCGTTGGTGGTTCGAGAAGGCCCCCAGAGCCTCCACAAAACATCAAATCCAAGGCCCAGCCCAAGAAGGATTCCCCTCAAAAGGTTTCAGGAGGGGTGAAGACACGAGGCCCCGGCCCAAGAGGGCCTAAAGATCACCTTGAAAGAGTGTCACAAATGCTTCGACGAGGCGCACGTTTCTCAATCGCTAGTCCCAGTGGAAGCTGGGCCGCACGCCAATGGTCTGAATACTCGTGCCGTTTCAGTTCCCCGAGTCTGCACTAATGTTGCGCTTCTGCACTGGCGCGGCGCAAGTTCTTCCTTCGCCACGTCGTCGGAAGTGGGGCCTCGCGCTCGCGCGAGCGCCTTCCGTTCGCTAAGTGGGAGCACGCGAACGCCCCTTTTCCTACCTGTAGCCCCTATTCTTGCTACGGGAGGGGGGCTGGGAGCGAGCGGGACCCGCAAATTCGTTCGAGCTGGCTGTGCTTCTTCTTATCGCCGCATCAAAGTATATACCCCAACTCTGCCACCTATCCGGCCGATAGCCCTCCAGATCCGCGTGGCCTCATCCAACCTATGGAAAACGAAGTCGACGGCGTCCCTCTCTACATTCACGTTTTGCCGTCGATGCAAGATTCGTGTCAGGAAAGGAACGGGGCGCACATCGCTCGCGAAATGGCGAAATGTCGCTTTCACCTTGGCGCCGCACTCGTGTGTCCTGAGAGTTGAGCTCTGGCCTGGATGCGGCGCGCTTTTTTTGCTCGCCAAGTCGTCAACGGCAGGGTCGCGCGCGAGCGGGCGAAGTGTCGCTCTCGCCCCCGCGCCGCGCAGGTTTCGCCTGAAAGTGGCGCTCCTGTGCTGGGCGCGGCGTCTTTTTCAACTGCCGAATCGTCGGGGGCGGGGCCACGCGAATTGTCGCCCTCGCCCACAGTCCTGTGCAGATTCCGCCCGGAAGTGGCGCTTCCGCCCTGGCGCGGCGCATGTGCGTCGGTCGCCGAGTCGCGGGAAAGTGGCAGCGGCAGCTGGGCCGCGCAGGGCCGAACGGCACCCTCGCCACGGCTCCGCGCAAGGAGTTTCTGGAAGTTCTGTTCGCGCCCGTTCGCGGCCAGTGTTTCTTCCCTTCGCCGAGTCGTCAACAGTGTGACCGCGCGCGAGCGGCTTCTGTTCGGGATGGGGAACGCGCGCCATTGTGATTTCCAGACTGCAGTGGCGTCGCCATTGGCTCTCATGTTACGGGAAGGTGAAGATGGGCGGGGCCCGCTGGCTCGCTCGACCTGGCGAACTCGGTTCCTACTCACACGGGTGCCCCTTGCGCAGCAAATGCACACATGATGGTCCACGTATGTCGTGCCAGCATGAGCGTGCCGAAAGACGCACCAGATGCAATCGACGTGTCCTTCGGAACTGGCATGGCGGACCAGAGTTGGAGAATGCCGGTGTTGGCCCGTATATGTCTGGAAAGAAATAAGTACGGCTGACTCCGCCGATGTAACGGCGCGTGCCAGGTGGATCGACAAGAGCTTTGCCCAGACGCCATGTTTCGAAGCTACGAGCGCTCCATGATCTCCACTGCGCTTTCGCTCGGAACGTAGGAGCGAATGCCTTCCTCACGCGACCAGGCCGCACATCCTGGAGTCGATTTGGACTGAAACCGTTCGAGACGTTATCATCACTCGCCGATGTGCGCTTCCGCTTTCGAAGTACAGTTTGTATTGATGTTTTTTTTCCTCGAGGGGCCATTTCTTTCCGAAGCTTGTGCGCGCGACATTACCCGCACGCATTGCACTTCACCGCAAAATCCGACTACGAAATACACCCTGTACCATCCCCAGTAAGAGCGAAATTGGCCTTCCGAAACTAACGCGGCTTAGGTACACGACGGTCCACGACGGTTTCCAAAACGGCACCGCGTCTGCTCGGAATCGAGTATTGGATGAAACAAGTTAATGCCCGAGGCCACTCGAAGGATAATAGGCTGTGGCGGAAGGAGGAGGCCGCCCAGAGGGTTGGTGGGATTCGATTGGTACTCTCAGACGAAACTCGAAGGATGTTTCCGTGCGTCGGCTCTGTTGCCTTGCGAGCGAGTCTTGGGTCGACAGAACCTGGGAATTTGGTGGCGCACCCTTCCAGATCGGTACGCACGCGCGCCAGGGGGTCGAAATATCCGTCTGGAGACTTTTTTGTTTAAATCCCCTGGCGAGAACGGGCGTGACCAGGGGGATCAGGGATCACTGCGGCCTCGGTCGAAAATCGACACGCCGAAAGGAAACCGACACGCACCGCTGTTGCGCGCGTCGGGCATAGCACACCCCAAAGGGCGTGCTATGCGCTCAACCAGCCCTTGGGAAAGGGGAGGAGCAAAAGCTAAAAGAGGAACCCAAAGCCGGATTGTGCGATCCATGGGGCACGTCTTACATGGCGCCTCCTCATCGCCTCGGCTCGGTTCGCTCGAATTCGCTCGCGTTGGGACTCGCTGAGGAGGGGGGGAGGGGGGGGGAAAGGCGAGGGAGGCGGGGCAGGGGGAACAAAGGGAGAGGCGAGCCCAACGGAGCCTACGTACAGGTCCTCTTGGGTGGGGTCCTCGGGGGGGTCCAACCTGGGGGCCAGGCTGCCTGGCGGCTGGCTGGGGCCAGGGGGGGTACACTGGGACCCCGAGAACGCCAGGACCAGAGGGCGCCTGAAGCGCTCCCTCTCGGGATCAGGACGAGAGCTCCTAGGCCCAGCCCGAAAATCCGGCGCCCAAGCAACTCCCTCCTCAGGAATGGACCCGACGAAAAAATCCCGAAGACCCTCCACCTCAGGACAATTCGGCTCGGTCTGGGACCCGGCCCCAGGTTCCAGGGCCGAAAAATCCGCAACCGTCTGGACAATCGACTCGGCTAGGGCCCTGCAAAGGCCGGGGGGGTAGACCTTCTTGGCCGCCGTTTTAAACTCCCCCCCCGTCTCTGCTTTACCCAGGAGCACTGAGTGCGCTCCACGTCCATGCGAGCAACGCCCCTGGCCGGGCGTCGCCCTCAGGCGTCGGTGCAGGCCGCTCACCCTCACGCCTACGATCCTCGTCGGCGTGACCAGGGGGACGGAGGGAGGGGGGGCTGGTCACGTCGCGATCCACGCTGGCGCCGGTGGCGTGACCAGGGAGCGGCGAGGCTGGTCACGGGCGTTGTCGCGATTAATGGTAAAGGCAACGGGCTTGTGGGCGTACATCAACGCTGGTCCCCGAGGACCCCCAGCTGCGGGAGACCATCGCAGCCGTGGCGGAGCTCTCCCGGAGCGCAGGCGGCCCGAGCGGCGGCGGCCAGCTCGGCGATGGGCTAGCCGCGCGCCTGGCCGACTTCGCTGGGGGCTACGTGCAAGCCATCGCGGGCGCCACGACGCGGCGGCCATCAGAGTAGGAAAAGGTATCGAGACCGCTGCCCTTGCCTCGTCTTCGAGTTTTTGGGCCGCCTGGGAGGCCCTCGTCACCACGGCTGGATTCGCCTCGAAACTCTCGTCATGACACACCCCGGGAGAGGCCCGTGGAGCAGCGGTATCCGTATCTTTCAGTTTCCCCAGGCCAAGCGCGGCCGAGAGATTGCTGCACTTGCGCGCGGTGTCCTGCTTCGTGCCGCAGCTGCGCCGCTGCGGCGCGCTGACGCCAGAGCTGCTCGGGGGCCTCCTCGCCGTGGTTCTCAGCCAGGCCTTTCGTCGTCGTCGTCGTCGTCCCCCTCTTCCTCCCTCATCCTTGCTCTTCCTGCATGCTCCTGCTCCTCCGCCGTCCTCCCTTCTCCATCCTTGCCTCCCTTGTCCTCCCCCCTTCTCCCTCGTTCATCTCCCCCACTCCTTCATCTTTCTTCCCTGTCCTCCCACCTGCAGTTGTCAGCCTCCTTCTCCTCTTCATCCGGCGCCTCCGCCTCCGCCTGCTCTATCGCTGCGGCTCCTCCTGCTGCATTCACCTCGCAGGTGTTGCTGCCACAGATGGCGGTTGCCGGAGGTGCCCCCTCCGCTGACGCGGCGGGGCCGACAGATTTGGTTGAGCTGCTGGCCGCGCTGATGCCGCTGGCAGCGGCACTGCCGCCAACAGGTCCCGGACAGGAAAGAGTTAGTAATTTGGCCCCATTGTTGTTCATCGTCATCTTCCTCTTCTTCGTCTTCGCTCACATCCTCCTCTTCCATCACTCCGTATAAATAGTTGCCCCCCTTATCGGGTCACAAGACGTGCCGGTGTTGCGGGCTAGGTACTTCGTTTGAGACGTCTTCGCCAGTCATGACTATGAAACTTAATTCGCCAGCAGTACACGGATGATGGAGGGCGAATGTCTTCAAGTTGGGTATCTCGCCTCAGCGCCGTGAACATGCGTTCTGAAATGCCCTCACAGTTCCGCGAATGGAGGGCAGGTAATTTTCACAACGTGGCTCTCGTTTCAGCGCCGCGCACCGTCGTCATAATTTGTCCAATACGTTCACGGATAGAAGGCGGATGGTTTTCAAAGCGCGGTTATCCCCACAGCGCCGACCACAGTCGCCGTAGATTCCCGAATTGCTCCATGCATGGGGGGCGAATGGTTTTCAAAAGACGGCTCTCGCCTCAGCGTCGCGCCCATGCGTCGCAAAAGGTTTCAACAGTTGCGCGGATGGAGGGCAGGTCGTTTTGAGCATGTGGTTCTCGCTTTAGCGCCGCGCACTTTTTTGTGTCCGCGGGCCGCGAAAAGATCCCGTGCCCGTGCACATTCGACGGGGCGCGTCGACGCGAATTCAGACCTATGCAAAGGGGATGAGAGGCAGGAGCCAGCCGCGCGAGGGCAGGAAGGAGTCCGGAGCCGCTTAAGGGCGCCCCGGGCGCCACCAGAGCTGGAAGCCTGGTGTCCAGCAACCACGCGCTTCTGTGCGAATCCACAATTCACCAGGGATGGGATGCGTGATAAGTAGTCAACGCAGTGAATGGACACTGAAATACACGCATGAGGCAAAGTGCATTGGGAGGCAACCATGACTTGGGATTCGCAAGGCTGGTCGAGGCCCTTCGAGCTGTTTCCAGGTCGCCGCACTGTCACACACCCTGATGGCGGAGCTGCTAGCCCAGACGGCGGTGCCAGGAAAGGTTCACCAGCCCAGCGAACAGGCGGTCAGGGCGGAAGGCGCTCGGGACAGCTCTGGGACAGCACTGGCACTGCGCCTGCATGTCTCGCGCTCCCGTCCTGGGCTTTGAGCACCCAGCACACTCGTGGCACATTTTCAGAAAGGGTATGTGCGGATGGAGGGCGGCTCTTTTCCTTTCAATATGGGGTTCTCGCGTGTGATGCCCTTTGGCTCCATTGCTCGAGCGTCAAAACAAGGGTTCATTGACGAAGAGCACGTATAGCGACTTCGTCTCAAAAGAGGAATCCCGCTTTGACGCGGGTTTTGATGTCCATGATCCGCTGCGGGTAGAAGATGGTGCAGAACGGTGTCTCTAGACAAGGTTGCCACCTGCATGGCACGACCATGGGGCGTTCGTCTGTCAAGGAGGCGCTCCGACGGGTGAAAATATCTATGAAGGCTTGCGACGAAGGGGACTTGGGACGCGAGGTTGTGTGGCCGCATCGTTGGTGCATGGTGGGTTTGATATGGTCCTCCCCATCGTCCCCCTCGATCTCCACCATTATCGAAGACGCCTACGGCGAATCACCGCCGCCCCCTGCCTTTTGGAAGCGCCTATGTGGCCAAAAGTAGGGCTAGATATTTGCCAAACTATCGGGCAATGCGTTCCCCAAGTCGGATTGCAACATCTTCAGGGAACACGTGGGGGAGAATGCACACAGAGAGGAATCGGGTTTGGTCTAATTTCCGTTCTGGGGGGCATCCTTTGGCTGTATGTTTGGAGCCTCCTTACCCCCTGCCCTTTTGGAAGCGCCTATGTGGCCGACAGCTGGGCTAGAGCTTGGCCAAGCTATCGGGCCAGTTGTTCCCCGAGTCGGTTTGGAAAGCCTTCGGGGAACGCGTTCGGGAGCAAGGGGAAGAGAGGAGCGGGATGATGATGATGATGATGATGATGATGATGATGATGATGATGATGATGATGAGCATGATGATGATGAGCATGATGATGGTGATGGTGATGGTGATGGTGATGGTGATGGTGATGATGATGGTGGTGATGATGATGATGGTGATGATGATGATGATGGTGGTGGTGATGATGATGATGATGATGATAGGAGGAGGAGGAGGAGAGGAGGAGGAGAGGGGAGGATGGGGGAGGAGAAGAGGAGGAGGAGGAAGAAGAGGAGTAGGAGGAGGAGACTTCTTGGGAACCTCTTGGGAGGCCGTGGGAGGCCTCCGTGCCGAGTCGGTTTGGAAAGCCTTCGGGGAACGCGTGGGGGAGCAAGAGGAGGAGGATCAGGAGAGGGAGGAGCAGGAGGATTAGGAGGAGGAGGAGGAAGATGAGGATGATGGGGGAGGAGGAGGAGGAGGAGGAGGAGGAGGAGGAGGAAGTGGAGGAAGAGGAGGCGGAGGAGACTTCTTGGGAGGCCTCTTGGGAGGCCTCTTGGGAGGCCTGTGCTGAGCTTCCCGGGAGCCTTTTGGAGGCATCTTGGGAGCCTCCTTGGGGCCTCTTGGGGGCTTCTTGGGGGCCTTCGGGGCTTCTTGGGGGCCCCTTTGGCCGTCTTAGGGCGTGCCTGACCCGTGTGACGCCGTCGGAGACCGTCTTGGGGGCCTTTCTGAACCGACTCGGGACCCTCTTCGGGCGCTTCAGGGCCGTCTTGGAGACCATCTTGGGCGTCTTGGAGGCCTCTTGGGCCGTCTTGGGGCTCTTTTGGTGCAGTCTTGGGGGCCCCTTGGGCCGTCATGGGGCCATCTTGGAGGCCTCTTGGGCGATCTTGGGGGCCTCTTGGGCCATGCATATATGATGTCTCAGGATACCAAGGGCATCTGCTTCTCCATTAACGAGGAAACACTTGCTTTCACGATCCAGTCTTTGGTGAAAAACACCTTGAAGACCGAGCATCGCAGCAACACGTCCTTCGGGAATGTCCCCACACCGGCCGATCAGGATTTCGCCTTGCGCAACTTACAGGCGAAGGTGTATCTGGCCATCTATGAGGAGGGCAGCAAGTGGACGCCGCCCGACGCGGATGCAGGGACACCTGCAGGAGGAGATGTTGCCGCTGAGAAGTTTGATATCTTCACTTCGAGCAGTGGCTCAGCAGCGCAGCGTGGCACGGGCATTTGGACGCCCCCATCGCTTGAAAATGAGTGACGGGGGCAGGCGCGTGCCACGGCCACTCGCGCTTGCTCCGACAGGCCGAACGCTGAGGTGATGTCGTCTGGCGCGAGGAAACGTGCATGTTTTTCCCAAGCGCCGCTTGTGCGCGCCAGGGACATTGGCAAGCCCGGCTGTGCGGCTGCCAAAGGCAGCAGTGGACCTGGCTGTGTGGCCGATGCAGCAAGTCAACGCTTATCGCATCATGATCTCTCTCGTGCACTTGTCATTGAGGACATGCGGACAGCTTGCGCTGAACTCCGAGCTCGCGGTTGCATGTGCGAACGCACCACACATTCAGAAGTTATGACCTCTACAGGTAGACAGTATTTGGGTGCCTTACTCTCGGGGGATTATCAATTGCCGTGGGTGGCAACGCCCGCTGACTGGCACGTTAGATCGCCTGGAAAGCGGGCAGGGCCACATCATCAACGCATCCAGAATGTGATGGTCAAAGCTCGGGCTCTACGTATGTCTATAGTACTTGTGGGACCACCAGGTTATTTCTGGCAACGAGGCCCCATGCGAGATGCCATTGAAGATCTAGACGTGCAGGCCATGCGTGTGCGGCGCTGCCACTTCGGTATGAAATCTGACCGTTCAAGTAAGCTGTCTAGCGGATCGCATCTGCAGGTGGCAACTACCTATACGCGCATCCCAACTATAACCTGTGGAGATGCACGTGCCAAACTGCGGGGAAGCCTGCGCAACTTGCAGAGCATGAATCGGACTGGCATGGCTACGACGCTCAGAGGGCAAAGTAACGCAACAAAACACTGGCTATCACGACTGCAAGGCTGATTGACCAAATTGATTTACATAAAACAATTGAAAATACGCGATTGCTGTACATCTTAGCATCCACACAAGAGTGGAAAAGGAGCTCGAATTTGCGTTCAGTCTCCTAAGAATGGCCCTGAATGGGACCATGTCGTGAGACGGGCAGCAATGAACCTGGGCGATAATACTATCATGCAAGACATCAAGAGCCAGGATCAGCCTATCGGGTACAATTACAATACGCCGTTACCGCATGGCGTGACAAACATTCGCACTCGACTGCACTGGGAACCGCCGGATCCGGTTCTCATCGGACAAGAGGACCAGCGACCGCGCCCAAGGCGAGTTGCGTTCGTCGATGACGATCGCCCCCCCCCCCCCCCCCTTTGACTGAGCGCGGCCGCGCGCCCCCCTCGATTCCCGAATTCCCGACGCTCACTTCGCCCGATACTGAACAACAGACAGCGCTGCCAACAGACGCCTGGGCCAAACAAAAAGAAAGCATAACGCCGACAAAAAAGCGGGCATCAAGTCACGCAAGATACCCAAAGTAGTCGAGGAAGGCAACGGCGACTGCGGTGACGACCTAAAGGGTTTCGGATGTAGCGCCCACTACGCCGACGCCCCCCTCGACTCCGACACTGAGAGCGATGGCGAAGAAGAAACCTTCATCGCGCTACCTGCGGGGCAACCTGCGGATGCACACGCAGATGCGTTCTCAATAATCCCGACCTTATACAACGGACGACACGATAAGATCGAAATGTTGGAACTGTGTGGTGAAAGCGGGGGAATGCCGCTGTTAGCATTCAGCCGGGGTTTGTTTTCTGGGGAAGCTTAGACAAACGTTCGCGCGTTGACCTTGGAAACAAGGGTGTCCAGGATACAGTGATGCATTATTTGGGCGGGTGCTTCGTCAACGTTGTCAGATTACACCATAACTGCAGAACTTCTTGACGACCTTCTGATTTCAAGTCCCAAGTGAATTTTGTCACGTGACACGAACAGCATAAATAAGACCTTCCACACATTAAGTGTTGTTGGGGAGTTGCCCCACGCCAAAC